TTATAGAATACTTCAACTGCCTTAGTAAACTCAATTTATCAAGAATTAGTTTTATTATAGACCCTAATTTCAAAAGTACTTAATTGAATATTTCCAATTCACTATATCTAAAGACTTGTTAATAAGTTTATTATATAGTACTTGCAACTAATTAAATTAAATAATCTAATTCAAAATATCTAATAAACTGGATAAATGATTTGGTAAAAATAAGGTTTTGAAAAATGTATAATCAAAATTGTCAAAAAAGCAAAGTTCATAATACCAATAACCCAATTTAATATAAATTTAACTCATAATAGTAGACTAGCTTATAGAATATTTTAACAGTCTCAGTAAACTCAAATTATACAAGAATTAGTATCATCATAGATCCTAATTTTAAAAGTACTTGATTGAATATATTTGATTCACAATACCTAAAGACTTTTCAATAATCCTATTATATAATACTAGCAACTGATTAAATTAAATAATATAATTCAAAATATCTAATTGATTAAAGTAAGTTTTTGAGAAATGCATAATTAAAATTGTCAAAGAAGCAAAGTTCATAATACCAATAACCTGAATTAATATAAATTTGATTCATAATAGTAGCTTAGCTTATAGAATACTTCAACGGCCTTGGTAAACTCAATTTACCAAGAATTAGTATTATATTAGGCCCTAATTTCAAAAGTACTTTATTAAATATATCCAATTCACAATATCTAAAGATTTCTTAATGTGCCTATTATATAGTACTAGCAACTGATTAAATTAAATAACCTAATTCAAAATATCTAATAAACTGAATAAATAATTTGGTAAAAGTAAGTTTTTGAGAAATGCATAATAAAAATTGTCAAAAAAGCAAAGTTCATAATACCAATAACCTGAATTAATATGAATTCAATTCATAACAGTAGCCCAGCTTATAGAATATTTAATAGCTGTAGTAAACTCAATTCACACAAAAATTAGTATTATCATAGGCTCTAACTTTGAAAGTACTTTATTAAATATATCTGATTCACAATATCCAAAGATTTCTCAATAAGCCTATTATATAATACTAGTGACTGATTAAATTAAATAACCTGATTCAAAATATCTAATGAACTAAATGAATAATTTAGTAAAAGTAAGTTTTTGAGAAATGTATTGCAAAGTAGCAAAGTTCAAAATACCAATAACCTAAAATAATAAATTAAATTTGATTCATAAAAGTAGACTAGTCTTAAAATTCATACAATATAGTTGTTTTAATCTACTTCTACTCATATTACTGGTGGCTTAACCAAATTATATGTTGATAGTTGAGTTTAAGGAACTGATATTTAATAGCTGATTATACCACCACCCTTGTAATACTCTACTGGAGACTTTTTTTTATACCCCAAAATTAAAGTCCCCAAGCTATTTATAGAACAATTACAAGTTCTAAAATAATTAATAATATAATTACAAGTTTTAATATAATCAATTAGCCCATTGCATACTTTTATGCACCCTTGCATAGTTATACATATTTGTATATAAAATATGCACAATTCTGCATAATTATACAAGGGGTGCATAAAAGTATGCAAGGGGTTAATTGATTACATTAAAACTTGTAATTATATTATTAATTACTTTAGAACTTGTAATTATTCTATAAATAGTTTGGGAACTTTAATTTTGGGGTACAAAAAAAGGTTCTCAGTAGGGTATTACAAGGGTGGGGTATAATCAGCTGATAAATGTCAGTTTCCTTATTTTGCTGATTCGAGCGTAAAGTTAACGCTTCTTGATAGTTTGTTAACGAACTTGAAACAAAAAAAATTTGTGAAATTAGGCTCAATCTGTACCCTAATTTTAAATCAGACCCCAATCCCTCTCAATTTAGGCCCAATCCAAAATTTCTAAGCCAAAACCAATCCGACAGTTAGGATCTGCACTAAATCCGAATTCGATCCATTCTACATTTTTGGAACACTAAGTGGATCCGAAAAAATATCCACTGGATTAAAATAGTCAGATTGGTTCAACGGATCCAAACACTAATTCATGAAATTACATAATAGTTAAAGCTCATAATTCTTTCTACGAATTTACAGCAAAATCGTCGCTTCAATTAATTGTACCAATTTTAGAGATATTGTATATTGATTACATTAAAGTGAGCCGCTTGGAAATGCTTTAAATCACTAGATAGTGAAAAACTGACCTTATAAAGGTAACGCATGATTAAGTAATATTTAAATTTCAATAAATTTATTATAAATGTATTACAACAAAGACAGCTATTCAATATTAAAAGTATTCAAATTATAAAATGATGTAATAATGAATCCTTAGCCCACTGGCAAACCATTGATAAATAGTGTTGCTTATTGCACTAGCCTATTTTAAAAATTATTTATTCATTTTATTTACAGTATATAAAGTAATTAGTTTCCTGGTCCATATTTGTGTTCTGGTATTACAATTTTAGACATAAAATATTAAGTAAATATATAAAATATTTAATAAAATTGTAATTTATCAAAAAAACATTTTTATTATAAAAATTGAGTTAATGTTTTGGACCCTAAGAATATATATTGAAATTATGAATAACAATAATTTAATGAATTTGAAAAATGTTATAAATTAATATTCTTGTATAAATAGCATTTTAAAAATTGGATAATTAATAAAATTTTAACTATGCTTGTGCTTCTATATTGCACCGGAAGTATTGCATACAAATGGAAAGGAATACACTCAAAAATCAGATTTTTATAATTTATCAGAAATATTTATTGGATATCCACAATATCATGATATTTCACACAACGAAGATCTAGCAACATGTATTTGTCTAAGCTATAGACCAAAATTAAACGTGAAGTTCCTCGGATCTGATGACTAAATGCTTACCATATAGGCGCGAAAATAACGCGCAGGGGTGTAATTCGAATTTCGACCTAAATTAAGCTTAATTCAGGCCGAAATTCAAAATAACGTCCATCAGGAAATTTTTAAATTGGTTTGCAATTGATTGACAGAAAGAAATGTCAATCAATAAGCAGCACCCTGTTGATTACCAGCGATACTGATTAGAATCGATTGACAACAAGGCAGTTAATTAAAATCGATTAGAATCGCTTTGATTGATATCAAAACTAAATTAAAATCGATTATTTTTTAATCAATTGTGTATCGATTAGCTACCAATATCGATTATTGTCGATTTTCCTAATCGATGGCAATCGCCTCTGCAGCTGGTAATTGATATCCACCTTATTTAAAAATTTCCTGATGTCCTTGCGCGTTATTTCGCGACTATACGGTAGATGTAGAGTCTCAAAACCGACCAGCTGCCGAAGAATTGGATAAAACGCCGAGAGAATTTTTTTATGATTTGGAATGTAAATACCGTGGATTATATAAGTAAGTTAAATATATTAAAAACTTAGGGCGTTCTCAAGTACTTACCCTCAATGGATTCAATAACGAATTTGATTGGTCTGCTTAATCAAACAAGCCAATCAGATTTTTTATTGAATTCATTGAGGTGGTGCTTGAGAACGCCCTTAGACAATAATTTCTTAACATGTAATCAAGTCAAATCAGACAATTCAAATATCAGACATTTCCATAAGCTATTTATAAGTCGATTTATGAATCTTTTAAAATTACCTAAACCAAGTAATAACATTTATTCATATTTTTAAAAAATTAGTAATTTTATTGAAACCTGTATTTTTTGTCTAATATGATTATTATGTAATAATCACATAATCGTTATTGTATTTTAAAAAAATTAATTTTTTAAAAATACTTTATATTAAATATATTATAAAAATGTATTAACTATATATTGAAAACATGTTTACTGTGATGTTCTTATGATATTTTTTTATTATATCTTTTATTATATTTTTTATATATAGATTATGTTTTATATCATGTTATGTTTTTAATATATTTTAAATATATTTTAGTTATTTAGTTGCATGAAACTTAATAGAATCATAAAAAATATATTATTTTAAAGATATGATTATTATATAATAAACATCTTAGGAATAAATACAGGTTTCTGTAAAGAGTATGAGCAAACCAAAATTATAAAACGTTAATAAATTTGAACGGATTTTTAAACTTATTACATATTACTTGACATAACAATTTCCATATATTAAACTTCCTTTTGTTGAAATTCTCTAGTATTCGATCAAAGGTCTCATGAGTCATGAAGCTACAGTATACTCTTGAAGCATCATAGCCGTGCCACAAAAATTCCCAGTTGTTGAATGTGACAATTGTTCGTGTTTCTTGCACTAGACATCACTATACGAATTTGCTCCCGACTATGGTATTCATATTCTTGCGACAAAAGACGATTCAAGTTTAATAATAAAACAAAAGGTCGGATCAAGTATAGCGAATAGAAAACATGCGACATTGAAAGAATTATTTTCTTTATATCATCTTATTAAACACGTAATTATTGCGAATCACCTGAGTTATTTCAATTGATAATCGACATAAAAATTGAAAATTGACGCGGAACAAAGTATCTTGTAAAAAACAATAATTAAAATAAAAATTTTCAAATTGACAATTTTCCATTTAATATTCTAAATTTATATATATGAACTTTAATAATCTACAATAACCTTATTTTATGACAGACTTTTTATAAAAGGATCGCGCTATAAAGAATTAAGTACAATCTCTAATTTATAATATAAGGGTTGACTGTAAATATTTCGCCAAATTTAAATATTTTACACGTACTATAAAAAAATAATATATCATAGAAAATTATGACAAAATTAAAGTTCAGCAGCTAAACTTATATGTATAGATTTATATGATTTTAGGAATTCCATACGTATATTTAAAAATGTTCATTTTTTTACTGTGGTTAAAATTATGAGTATAATAAACCTATTTTGATCATCAGATACCTTGAACATATTCTCTAAATAATGAATAACCTTATTAGTATTAATTTATAAATAAATTTATTGTAAAAAAATTTACATACACTTCAACTCATATTTAGCCATTAAGGCTCTGACTGAGACACAAAAATCTTTAGAAAAGAGTTCATCAGATTCTAAGTCTTTTATAGTTTTATCAATCACTCTCATAAGCATATTATTAAAATTCTGCTCATTTCTTGCAGAATTTAATTTATCCAAAAGATCATAAATAGTCGTTGATTGAATTTCCCAATATCCGATGAGTTGTCCCATTGCTGTTTTAATTGATTCGAAATTTGTTGCCACAATATCAATATAAGTTATTAATTCATCACTTTCTTTTACTAATTGCTTTCTGATATCATTACTTTGAGATAGATAGTTTTTTCGAGAAATTTCACTTCCTATACCTGTACCTATTCAAAAAGAAAATGAAATGCCATTTTATTAACAAGACTTAATTATATAATTTAAAAAATATACATGATTTTTATAATAACTTACTTGCGCCACCTATAATAAGAGCCACATTTCCAGCTACCAATCCAACAATTCCACTTAGAATACCAACATTACGGAAAAAGGCCGAAGTCTTCATTTTAGTTTTAGTTTTATCAAAGTCATCTTTAGATTTTGATTGAACGTTTTCTGGATCATGCTGAATATTTTCCTGATAACTATTAATGTCATCACCAATTTTTACTAATTCATTTTTAATTTTTCTAACTTGAGCTTGCAACATTTCTGCTGATTTTAGGTTTGTTTTAGTATCATTTAGTAATGATTCTAATTCTTTGTGATATTCATCGATTGAGAGAGAATTCTCTCGAAAACAGTTAAGAAATAATTGCAATTTAGAGGAATAACCACGAATTACATGACTTTGTTGAATTGATCCCTCTAAAAAACTGATAAATTCCTCCCGTTGAATATTAATTTCGTTAACACTATTTTTGAGCATATAATCTTCAGCTTTGACTTCTACACACTGCCAAAACTTTTCAAGACTAGAAGCCAGATTATTTCTCATAAGTTTCATATTGAAATTCACGTAATTAACATCATGAGCCGAAGAATTATCATATTCAGAAAAATCAGTTGATATGTGCACCATTTTTAACTCAAAAAATAATTTCACTTTCAATCCTTGATAAAGAACTTTTTCAGAGTTATGATCAACCTAATCTTAACGTTAAAATATATATGCATATTTAGTCACATGGAATTTTACGCATAATTACGTACGTACGTAATTATATTGGTATGGTGTTACGTGTCACTTACATACTTTTGTGTGAGACAAAGAAAAATGGCCACTTAGAGATGCAAATTTAATTTTGTGGCGTTAATTAAAAATGACAGTTGAAATCCTATCACTATATATATGCCTATACAACTAATCATGAATGCAGCGGACATTTACAGCTAGAGATGGACTACTACAGCGTAATTTTTATAATTCAGACAGCTGGTATAATCCTGGTCAGCCTGCATTACAACTGATAAACAGATAAGGAATACAGTACAGTATAACTGATTTAAATTTTGAAAAAATTTAATTGAAAGACCCCAAAATTAGTTAAATCCACTCATAATTAACGTTAAACAGTATTGATCGAAAATTTCTAACTAACATTACGTATGATATTTATTTTAACTCTTTTAGCGCTTTTTTTGTTTCTGGGTTTGTTTCACAAATAAAGATCGGCGTAAAGATATAGCAGATATATATTCGATTTTCATAGCTAATTTTATTCTAATACAAAAAGAAAAATATTAATACTAACAATATCGGCGGATTTTTAAATAACTCTAAAATTAAAGGGTATCATTTAATTGGTTGAGGCGGAACAATGGATAAAAATTCATGTCATGCAAATAATCATATTTTAGAATATTAAAATTTTAGCTACGTACGTACGTAATATTGATTAATTTATATGTCGTACCTCAGATTAGAATAGGCATAGGTTTAAAATTGAGTCGGATAAAATTATAACTGAACTCCGAAGAAGTGTCAAAATGGTTTTTGTCATTTATGCGTCATACTGAAATACGCATAATAAATGTCATGATAATAATATTAATAAAGTAATACGTAAATTAATAATTGATTCGCTTAAAATTTCTTTACATATTATTCATATATTTTGTATCAAACTAAATGCTATAGAGTATTTATTTATTTCACGCAAAACTTTCGGTAGCTATTTTAGTAATTTCATTATAGTATAATTTATCGTTATATAAAATGTATTTAATTATTTATATTTATTTAGATTGATTCTTCTTCATAACATTCTTCTTTATATACCTCACAATAGTGATCCGAATCGACTAAAATTTTTTAGTTGACTAATCAGTCGAGTAATTTTATGACTAGTCGACTAATCATATAATATATAAGGTAAACATAAACTATAGTTTATTATTCTGCCAATCAAAATATTGGTTAATTATTAGTCTATATTATTGTTTGCAAATTAAAGCTTATGTGCATGAAATTTTGGCTCACATTATGAAATTCTGGCCCGCATTATGGCAGCTTGCTGCTAATGCAGACCGAATTACGAGGCTCTGAAATATTCCCATGCGCATGATGGTCTATTTGTTTATTATTTCTATATTTAGTTGATTTTTAATCGACTAATAAAATTTAGTCGACTAGTTGATTTTAGTCAATTTAGTCAACTAAAAGTTAGTCGATTCCTATCACTACCTCACAACCATTGCAAAATTTTAATAAACAAAAAATAACAGGTCATCAATTATTATATAGGATTGTAGAGACCTACTGTATGACCTCTACAATGATAATCCCCTAAACCTTGTGAAGAGACATCAAGGCTATGGGTCTTACTGCGACAAAACTGGAGACTAGAATAAGTGTAGCCTTGGATTAGTTAAGTTGTTTATTTCTATTGGATACAGTATTTTGACAAATAAAATTTAATAAATTATTTAATTTATTATTTGTCTAAGTTAAATTATATAGACTATATACAGATATCTAAATATATATTTAGAAAGTAAAATTGATGAATAATTATTTAAGTATCAAGTTAGTTAAAAAAAATTTTTTTTTTGTATTGATAATTTTTTTTTAAATAACAATTTTTATAAATATTAATTTAATACACGAAAAGCTGCCTAATATTTCTTTGTTATTAAGATATTATTAAAAAATTTATCTGTACGATTTACTGTGATTATTAATTTTATCCAATAAAATTTATACGTCTTACAATCCTTAATCTTCTGACTGCTGCTAAAGAATTTGGATTTGAAGAATCAGTAAATGCAGCGCAAGCATAATTAGTTGAGAATCATGAAAAAACATGGGACGTCGAAATTTTGCTAAAGTTTATAAAATAAGATTTGAAAACGATGATTCTAAAGATATACAAAAGTTCTGCAATGATATTATTGCCAAATATCCGAGATTCTGAAGATTGAATGAATCTTTCAGAAAGCGCTTTGGTCTCTATTTTAAAGCATGACAACTATATATATAAATTAAGGAAAAGTTGGGTCAGGTTATTAAATGGAGGAATTGCTCAAAATACCTCATATTCGATATTTTCAAATTACAGTAAAGATATCATGGATAAGTTATGTCCGTATAAACAATATTTAAACCTAAAATTTAGTAGAATAAGTCTTGAAATTCCTTTCTCACAGCTCTAGCTAATATTAATAAACATTTTTATTAATAAAATAAATAGTTCTATATTAAAATTCTTTAAACAGCTTTTATATATATATATGGGCTAGGTGCTGCAAAAAGGGACCAAATTGACAAAACAAAAGATCTGCGGAAAATCAATTTTTATTTTATAAATCTCATAATAAATCATAAGAAAATGCAAACCTTAAAGAGTAATATAGCAAAATTTTATTGATACAACTACTTTGTGTTTTAAGTAAAAAATGGCCCAATCTTATTCTAAATTGATTTATGTGAAAAAATATCTTTTGAAAAAAATTGTCAATTTGGTCCCTTTTTGCAGCACCTAGCCTATATATATATATATAAACATCATAAATTTATGATCTAATATCTTACGCAACTACATAAATAAAATAGTTGTATTAAAACAAATAAATTGATTTTCTAATCTACCTCTTTCATTAAAAATTTTTTTAACTCTTGAATTATTTTTTCATTGTCCTCTAATTTTTGAATTATCTTGTTTTCATTCTCTGTTAATTTTTGAATCATCATTTCATTATTTTCCAACCTTTAAATATTTTTTCATTATCTGTTGCTTTTTGAGTCTTTTCTTCATTTTCTATTTTATTTATTTCCATAATTTTTAACAATGAATCTGAAAGAAATGGTTTTTCAATAGAATCATCCCATTTATTATTTTTTATTTTAGAGATTATATCATAAAGTTTATCGAGCTAAATCTGAAAAATCTTTAAATATTAATTAAGATTAAAATTATATAAATACTAATAAGCAACTTTTTGTAATAAATTACAATATATTAATATTTACATATTTTCAGGAAACCAATTCTTCTTTCTACGTTGGTATGGTAGCATATAAAATAATTCTATTTCTGATAAAATCTGTTTAAAAAAAATATATCCATAATTTTAAAATTATTAAATAATAAACTAATATATTAATAAAATCATTACCTTTGCTTTTTGAATTAAAAATAATTCTTTTTTGTTTGATTCACCAATAAAATTAGACAGCAATCCAATAAATAAATTCATCAAATAAATGGTTGTAAAAAAAGAAAAAAGAACTATTAAAACTGTTAGTGTTAGATTTTCAGTTAATGACCAATTAGATATATAGGATGAATCGCCTATATGTGCATAATAATGTAATTAATAATAGGTATAATTTTTTTAAAATATTATATATATATATATATATATGTATGTGTGTGTGAAATACCTGTTAACATCATATATACGGCTAAGTATGCTGTGTCTAAATTTGCAAACATATTTGTATTTAATTCTTCTAAATAACTTGCATCAGTTGTTGGTCTTAATAAAATATGTAAAGAATGTGCAAAAGCAAACATAATAAGACCAATTATTACGAAAAAGGACAAAGAATTTCGTATAACACCAATAACCATTGCCCAATGAGTACCACTAAATTCAATAGCACGAAAAAATGTTATAAATTTAAGTTCAAGTAATAATATAGAAATTGTAACAGCCCAAATTGATGTTGTAGAAAATTGCAACCAGTCAATAGAAGTTAAAACAGGAAATAATATTGCACCTATGTCTTAAAACATATTTAATTATATTATTATTATAAAAAAGTATTATAATTTGATAATTATTAAATAAAAATTAAATTTTAAATACCAAAATAATTCCAAATATCAAAAATCCAAAATAAAGGAGAATAAATAAATTGTCGAATTTCAAATATAAGATGTAAAAATCCAAGAATAATAGTTGCTATTAGCAATAAATTCTGAGTATAATTAGATAATCCATTTATTGTAGCAACTATCAGAAAGCAGAACATAAAAATAAAATAAAATAAAAATATAGAAAAAAAAATATTTTCCATAGGTGTCCCACTTGAATTTAAGAAGTGCTTCACTATGCCAATATTTATAAAGTTCAGGAAATTGATGTTTAGAAAAAAACACTAGGTTTAGGAAAAATTAATTCTTTCCAAAAATTCTATTCACTATCATAAGAACTAAATTTTGGTAATGGAAATATTATAATTACAGCTTGAAAATTTTTATGAGCATCAAAAATCACAAAAAGAAATTCGCAAATGATATAAATTATGCCAAAAAGTGGCATTAAAAAAAAAAATAATAAAAACATAAATAAAAAAATACCAATTAAAAGTGGAAATAAAAGTAAAATAGAAAATAAAATAGAAAATAAAATAAAAAATATAAGACATATAAGCGGTGTAAGCAAGTTACACATGCTTATGTAAATTTCTTTTAAAATTAGATTTTTTATGATAGAATATAGTTGCAAATATGGTTGCAAATATTCTATATAACTCTGAAGATGCGGTTCTGAAATGAATTTGTTAAATTTAAATTCCTCAAAGTTATTAGTTAAATGAATAAATAGAGTATATGATAAAAATTCTTTCAAAAATTGAGGAAATTGAGTTAATTCTGTAAATAAATAAGTGACAATATCAAATGATTGAATTTTTACTAAAAAGTTATCATCTATTTCTTTGAATATTTTACTAAATAATTTTTCTACTATTGAATAGTTTTTAAATTTAAAGTAAGACTTAAGAAGTCCTTCCCATATAATTTCATTAATATATTATCATCAATGTAGTCATTCATTAATTCTTCAAAAATATATCTATTATCTTCCATATAAGATTGTTTATTATTAATAATGAGAAAATCAAAATCTGGAGCTGGCAATAAATTTCCCTCATAGTTTATAATACATCCGAATCCTCTCCAATGCATGTAATATCGTAATCTAATTTTTTTATATTTCTGCCAAATTGACCATATAAATAATCCAGCAGATGTAATCATCACTAAATCTTCATTATTCAATAAATCACATTTATAAATAATGATATTTGTAGTGTCATCGATTAATTTGCCATTTTCGAAGCGTTTACAAATAAACTTATAATTTAATTTTACACAATCTATAGATTCCCATGTATCCGAATTAAATTCTTTCAAAAGAGCTTGTATTACTCTTTCATTACTTACTTCCCACTTCAATAGTGATCCGACATATTCTGATCCGATATATTTTGTAATGACATCTTTATATTTTTGCAAAGATTTTACTATTTTAGATTTAGAGGGTAAAGCTCTTATTCTATTATAATCTTTTGATCCATTGTTTTTTAGAAATCTCTTGAGCCCATAAACATCCATCTAGTATGTAATATATTTTTCCATCCATCAACGTTTTAAATTCTACTTTTTGCACGTCTGACGTTGTCAAAGTTCCTTCATTTTAAAGTATGCCACAAAAATTCGAAATATTGGTTTTATTAGTTTTGTCTTCAATGTCAGATTGAAGATCATAAGGGTCTCTTATTTCAAGATCTTCATGTTCAAAAAATAAAAGTAATCTTTCTCCTTCTTCATTGGGAGAAATGAATTCTAACCTCAATAAAGTTTTTTTGACTTGGCCTATTAATTAATTATAAATTATAGTGTATAAGTTATAGAGCATAAGTTATAGAGTAAGTTATTGATTTGTAATAAATCAACCAATGATGTTAAACACTGCATATATGTTATTAATTAAGGAACACTCTAATTACTTATAGTAGGTAGTTGTTTTATGAATATGTATAGCAACTATAGTTAGACACCATTGGTTTAATTTAGTAGCTCGAAATGTTAGCTGAAATATGTTCGGATTTTTGAACATTTTTGCAAACATCTATATACAAATTTAAATAACTTACAATGTGATAAAAGCATCGAATTTTCAGTTAAATAAACGTAAATAAATTCTCCTAAATAAACTGCAAGTAGTGTCGAATTTTTATTAAAAATGCAATGCCATCTCGCAATTCTCTGCATTTTTTTTTTTTATTCTCAAAGCGTGCTATATCCAATTGATATTGTTTTTCAAATAATAAGTTTAAACTCCATTGTGTTAAAGACCCACAACTATCAAGAAGCATTATCTTTTCTTTAGCGTTTATATGACATTTTATAATATCTTTACTTGCTCCACAGTGAATTGAATTAGTAAGCTTCAATCTTCGATCCTTTAATTCTTCTCTTGAAAATTTTAAAATGGTATAATCTTGGCAAACAATTAAAAAGTCTCTATTATAAAATCTACATTCTTTTACTGAATATACTTGTTCTAAATAATTTTCCCTTGTTTCAACATTAATGACCTCTTTAAAAAGATTAGATGTTTTAGAAATTATTTTGAATATTGCGAATTTTATCAATTATTTTATATATTGTTACTAACCAATTTTATTATCATATTGTTGTATTGCAACAAGTTTATTATTTGAAACTGCTCTTAATTCTCTCAATTCGCCCTTCTGTGCTTTTAAATCTTTTAAATATATTAAACAATCAAACTCGAAAGGTTTGGGTGATTCTACTGATGATTCTATGTGCTCATTTTTAAATTGCCAACCGCAAATTGAGGTGTCATCTTTGCTCCATGTCACTGCGTAGTTGCCATCTGGCGATAATAAAAGGTTTGTTATTTCTTTGCCATTTTCGAAGCGTTTACAAATAAACTTATAATTTAATTTTACACAATCTATAGATTCCCATGTATCCGAAT